AATGAGATTTTATTAATTAAGTTTTATAAATGCATGATTACACTTAATTACGTTTTATGAATGATATTATTATTATTATTTTAATTTTGTACTTTATGAAACAATTTTCTATAGAAATAATTAGTAAATAGTTTTAATAGTATAGTAAAAAAAAACTTTAAAATCTTATAAACAATTGTCGTTGTAATAAGAATAGTAATAATAATAATAATAATAATAATAATAATAATAATAATAAAGTTTTCAAGTAAATTATTTGACCATGATCCCTCCAAATTATAAAAATTACATTACTCACAATTTTTTTAATCAATATAGTGATTCATAAGTACTCAAATAATTTATATAAATATTATTTTATTTTTACTAATGATTAAATCTTAAAAATGTGGTACTAGAATTTTAATATTAAATTCACATATCTTGAAAATGTGATATTTTATTATCTATAATTTTAATATTAAAATATTACTTATAATATTTTATGGCTAATGAGCATTTAAAATAACCTCATAAATTATACCTAGGTGGCATTTTTCCACCAATTTCCGTTACTGTTCATTTATTTTTCGTTTTTTATTTTCTTTATTAAAAACTACTCAATTTGGGAAGAAGAATTGACTGTTTTAAAAATGACAACAAATTAATTCTGCATTCATAACAAGTTAATGAAAATATTCCTAGATTTTTTTAAATATATTAATTAGTCTCAACAAATATCATTAATTATTTTCTTAATTGCAATTATTTTTTATATGCATAGTAAATTAAAAGAAACTAATGAAAAAAAAATTTACATATCAAAAAAAAAACAACCAACCAAAAAAAAAAAAATAAATTAAATTTTTTAAAAAATCAGAAACTCCTCCCGACAATTCCTGCAAAAAATAAATAAATTAAAGATCAACTAAATTCATTAATTATAATTATCAAATTACAATTCCAAAAATTGAGATCGAAATCTCAAAATAGGAGGCAAGAATCCAAAAAGATGCGGGGATTCCGAAATATAAAAAAATGCTTTGATATTATTTATACAAATTCCAATCATCAATATCCCCACATTTATTTTCTCATATTATAACTCTAATAAAAATTATATTTTAAGTATCCCATATTTTTTGCAAATCTCATAACTCCAATAAATATTAAATATTAAATGTGGACGGTCAATATCCTATATTTTTGTCTCATGTCATAACTCTAATAAAAATTAAATACTAAATATCCCTATTTTATACATTACAATCAGCTTAAATATTGTTTTCAATATTATAACCGTTTTATCCATGAAATCAAAATAATGAAATTTTAACCAATAAAAGTTGATCTGGTATTTATAATACATTCTGTACATGGAAAAAAAAAAAAAAAAAAACTATATAAACCTCAATCACAATATTCATTTGTCATTTTCAAGACATCAAAAGACGTGCACAAAACAATGTTTAAAAGAACTTTCTCTACCAAACTCTACTACCACTCAAAAAGCATACAACAACCCAAACGTCATACATCGCAAGTCAGGGTTAACAGGATATAACAAATTGACCAGCAAAAGCAGCAGACAAGAAAGCACACAAGATGGAAATGATGCCTTGGGAAAAATCAGTAAAATATTTTGGTGATATATATAGATTAATACCTTTTGCTGCTCCATACACTCAAATGATTATACACGTTGTGTATAGATAGTACACTCCTCTTTATCCACTGCAACTCGATTTCAATAATAATATCTACAGTCACGGAAAGAAGTGTTATATGAATGTTGTGATACAATAAACAGATAATGAAAGAATGTTACTTATCTGATGTTTAGGAGTACAATATGAATGTAGATATTTTGTACACTACTCACAAAAAGAGTGATACTTATGAGATTCAGAGTACAAAATAAGAGTAAGTAGGATAAGAATGACTGTATGTATGTGTCACATTAGATCTAACATAGATAAGATCATTCCATACAGACCTAACATAGACAAGAATGACATATAAAAAACAAAATGAAAGCAAATTAAATTGGAAAATCAAATTACCTTTGTTACTACTGCATGTTGAATCATTGATTTCTGGTGAAAGATAATCAACCATTTATATAATAATGTATACGGAACTATTAAAAAAAAATATAAATATAAATTAAATAGTTATAAACTTATATCAAATGAAAAAAAAAAAAAAATTGGTTTTTGCACCAGATGTGTTAGTTTTTATAGATAAAATAAAAATAAAAATAAAAACTTTAGTTTCTTACTAGATTTGTTATCTATTTACAACTTTTTTATGAAAACGGAACAAAAAAGTGTTGATGATTTTAGATAACCAAATGTTTTATTATACACGAAATCCGAACAAAAAACCGCGGCGAATAATTTATGTGATAGCAACACAGGCTAACAACCATCTTTCAGATTTTTGTCATGTGCTCTGCCGAAAGTTTTTCTAGAAACTTACTCAGATCTCAAGAGATCTTCATAGTAATTTAAAGATTTGTTAAAATCTGGAAAATAAAACTTTAAAGGTGCTCATGTCCGTAAAAAAAATGCTTCAAAATCAAAAAAAAAAAAAATGTCGTAAATTATTGAAAAACAAATAAAGATTAAAATTAAAAGGAAAAATAAAACTGTAGATTTGAATAGATCTATTATGTTATCGCCCGATTTGGACCAATTTACTATGATTAAGTAAAATAGTTTTGTAAAATCGGGACGATCTTCATATTTCGATCTTTATCAAGGCTCGAAAATATATTTCCGGGTGTTTTTCGATATTTGAGCGTTCAACGGAGAATAATCGCCGATAGAAACAAAAGATTTGGCTTGATCATCGCCGAATATGTTGAAGAAAAATGAAAATGGTTCGTTTTGAGATGCGCCGACAGAAAATCAAAAGAAATGGCGAGATTGACGTGTTAGGGTTTGCTAATATTTAAACTTCCCCCAGTTCTGACCGGATTTTAACAAATACTATAGACTAGAGAACTATGGGCTGGGCTGCTATTACTAGAGATGCTCTCACCTGATATAACAATATATATGGGCTGGGGTGCTATTACAATATATATTGGGTTGCTTTAACAACACATATATGTGTTGCTATTAATAGAGATGCTCCAATAATTATAGTCGGCCCAATAAACTTGCCTCTTAGTTTTTTTATTTGGGTAAAAATATACACAACATTTATTTTTTATCTATTATTTTATAGGTATTATTTGTTAAGTTCTTTAATTTTTTTTACAATTGTTATTTGGCTATAATTTCACATTGTATTATTTAGACAACTAAAACCATAACAAGTTTAAGTTTAATGCATATCATAGTAACATAATAATGGTTTGTAAACTGTAGTGGACAATTTGACTTTATCAATTTTATTATAGAACGTCGTCTGATGTGACAACTGTACGCAATTGGTTATCACTAAGCTCAACAGCCATGTCCTTGAATGCAGGATTTTAATCGGTGCTAGAGCTGGTGATAAGGTCCTTATCCCTAGGCTCACCATCATACCCTCCGATCTGAGGGTACCGTTTAAGTTTCAGCGCATACCGTTTCCGTTAATGGTTTCCTATGCTATGACTATCAACAAGAGTCATAGTCAATCACTGTCCCACGTCGGCATACTATTGCAAAACCTCCATATTCTGTCATGGACAATTATAAGTGACACTATCTAACGTCACTAATCGAAAGATTTGAAGATAATGATTTGTGGTGATAGAGATTGTGACGATAGAAAAACTACGAACATTGTATATAAAGAAGTTTTTAATAATATTTAGATTTGCTTTCTTAGTGTTTTTTTTTTTCAATCATTATGTTATGATTTTACCATTGTTTTTTTTTTTTCCTCTATATTTTCCGTGCAATTGCACGGGTAAAAAACTAGTATTTGTAACTACCACTCATTATCAACTAAAATTTTATTATTTTTATATTTCATCGACTCTTACCATTATATAGATATTTTCTTTCATAAAATCTTATAACTATAATCTTATTTATATTCGTTCACAATCTCAAAAATATTAATATCGCCTTTAGATCTCTATTTCTTGATGATACAATTATTTTCTAAAAAAGAAAATCCATATCCAATAATGACAATATAGTTTGCATTCTCTAAATGACTAAATTTAGTACATAATCTCCAAGGGTGATTACCCCTAATTAGTACTTACCACTATAAATTTGGCTATTGCAATTGTCAATAATACACATCACAAATTTTGTCTTAACCACCATCAAAATTCAATAAAAACTTTTAAACATGAAGAGCATTCCTTCAACCATATTAATTATTTTAGCTCTCCTTCTTGTCACTATATCTGGTGTGTTTTATTTGTTTTCGTTTTCCGCATATAATAATTCACCTGTACTCCTTTCTACTCTTTTCGCTTTTTTTTTTTTTTTTAGCATACGGGGAACCATTCCGTCGAGGTTTGTAATCGTAACAAACCTCGACGGAATGGTTCGGTTAGAAACCTCGACGGAATGGTTCCGTTAACAAACCTCGACGGAATAGTTCTGTAACGGGACCGTAGCATTTTCTGGTTACAAACCTCGACGGAATAGTTTCGTAACGGGACCGTAGCATTTTCCTATAATATATTAATATATTATGTTTTATTATTATTATTATTTTTATTTTATTTTATTTTTTTACTTTTTTTTTATCAGGTATAGAATCATCATCAGAGGTGGAAAAAATAGGAGTGGAGACAATGTCTTTGGGCAGGAAAATAGGCGGAGCAATTGGTATTAAAAAGTACTGTTTTGCGAATTACTGTGACTTTGATAAAGACTGCAAGGACCCTCGCTGTGGCACCAAATGTGTTCGCGTCAGCACGGGCTTCCATATCTGTGCTAATCCTCGAAACTGAACAGCATTATTATGTATCTATCATCGCATTTCTCATGAAAGTTTAAACAGCTGATATTCTACAAGGGTGATTCTTTCTTTTTTTTTTTTTTTGTTGGGGGTGGGGGGGTTTACACAGCTTCAATAGCTCGATCTCGTAACACAGCACTTAAACCACCGATTTCGACACTCGTCTGTCGATAAACCGAATCCAAAACACACGAAACACTCGCGAAATCGGGATGTGTCCTGTCCCCAGCCAGAAACACCTTCCCGGCCCCACCCGACTCGATCCAGCTGCACCCAGGCTGCTTCTTCACTCCATTCTCTCTCATCCGACCCCACACGCCGTATGCCTTCTCTCTCATCCCACTCGCCAAGTACATCTCCGCAAGAATCATGTAAATGCCCGAATTCGTGGGCTCCACCTCCAGAATCCTCTGACAGGCAATCTCGGCCACCGCAATGTTTTTGTGCGCCCTACACGCCGCAAGCAAGGCTCCCCAAACGCTCGTGTGGGCCTCCAGCCCGTTTAGGCTCATTTGGCGCACGAGGCCCATGGCCTCCTCGATAAGCCCATATTTTCCTAATAGATCGACCATGCATGTGTAGTGCTCGTTCATCCGCTCGAAAGAATACTCGTCCCACATGAGATTAAAGTAGTGTTTTCCTTTCCCCACGAGTCCCGCATGGCTACACGCGGATAGTACACCCACGAATGTTATTTGATTGGGGCTCACGTCCGCAAATCTCATCTTTTCAAAAAATTCAACCGCTTTTTCACCGTGCCCGTGGTGAGCTAGCCCGCATATTACCGAGTTCCATGAGATTATATCACGACGGGTCATGGAATTAAATTGAAACAATGCCGACTCCATATTCCCACACCGAAAATACATTGTAATAAACGCATTCCCGACGGGAGTAAATGAATCACCTCCCACTTTGATAGCCTCCGCGTGCATTTGTTTACCGAGGTCTAATGAAGGCAAATTCGAACATATAGTGAGAAAGCTAGTGAAAGTAGCTTCGTCTAACGCAAAACAGTCTTTTTTCATTTGAACAAACAATTTCACACCTTCCTCGAAGTGATCATTTTCACCAAGGCCGAATATGGCGACATTCCACACAGTCGTGTCACGTGCGGGTAAAAACCGAAAAACTTTCATGGCGTTTTCAGTTTCTCCCATGCTAAAATACCCGACCATGATATTTGTATGTGAAACTACGCCACCAAACGGTCTTTTTTCCAAAATCGCGTGAGCTTCTCTCACGAAGCCATTCTTGACCAATCCAAACAAAATCGAGTTCCACAACTTTTCGAATTTATGAGGCATCTCGTTGTATAGTATCAAGGCGTCTTTGACTCTCCCAATACTCACAAAGCTGTCGATCATCACACTCCATGAGTTGAAATCCTTCACAGGCATCTCATGAAACAAGCCTTCTGCAATCTCGACAAAGTTATTATCCACGTAGCCACGAATCATCGTGTTCCAAGCCTGAATATCTTTAACGGGCATATCATCAAACACTTTCCGGGCTTCGGTAAGCCGCCCTGCCCCCAAATAGGCCTTCATCAATATAGTCCAAGATACGACATCGCGTGTGTCCATTTTTTTGAATAACTCCTCAGCCTTATCAAAATCCCCAGCCTTCACTAAGCCCGCAATAACCGAATTCCAAGAAATCACATCTTTCACGGGCATTTTGTCAAAAAACATCAAGGCATCCCTCACCAATCCATTTTCAACATACCCAGATATCAAGGAATTCCAAGTCACAATGTCCCTGTTCTCCATGCTCTCAAACACATTTTCAGCGCCTTTAACATCTCCGGCCCGCATAAGCCCGGAAATCATCGTATTATACGAGAATATATCACGAGACGGCATTTTATTATACAAATACAGAGCATTTTCGTACGACCCGTTTTGAATGTAGCCTCTGATCATTGCATTATAAGTGACTGTGTTTCTGTGAGGCATTTGGTCGAACAGTTGTTGGGCTTGCTCGACATGTCCATTTTTCATGAGATTCGAGATCCTCGAGTTGAAAGGCTTGATGTCTGGTATAGTGGAAAAAGCTTGAAGATTGAAATGGCGTCTGAGAGATAGAGATTTGCCGACGGCGAGAGCTTGTCTCAGGCGAAGCGACATGCTCCATCACTGGTTTCAACGCGCGCAGCTTAAAAGATTTCTTTTTCAAAATGGATCGAAAATGAATTTGGGCCTGGACGGTCAGTCCAGTTCTGCGTTAATGGATTGTGAAGATTAAGGTGTGTGATTCTTCCCAATTATTAAGGTGTGATTGGATATTAAAAAACGAATCAAAACTCAAATTTTAACTCAATTTTAAACTAACTCTGTTATCTTCATATTATAATAGAATTAAATAATATCAATTAATTATTTTTACACATCGTATCAACTTTAATTCACTACTCATCACTCACATAATTTTAACTAACCATCGTTCTCAGTCATTTTTATCTTACTTTTACCTTAAATCAATTTTATTTATTTTATTTTAGATATTACTTTAATATACACATTAACAACTAACCATGCCACATTTTTTAAAATTAGTTATGCTTAAAAATAAAACCAATCAAATTCATATCTGGTCACGCCCTAAAGGCTTTTTTCAGATTTTAACGTGTTCGTTCCAGTTTTAAAAGGATTTTAAAAAGACATTAGGTATTATCAGAATTAAGGAAGTGCATACATTTTTTCGAACTCTTAAAGACTTTATGAGATTTTAATAATCCTTGTATTTATTTAAAATTTTTAAAAATACTTAAAAGGCATTAAATATATATTTGAGATTATAAAAAAGTCTTAAAAAGTAATGTATTTCGTTTGAGATTTTAAAAAGTCTTAAAATTCATGTGCTATTCATATGAGATCTCAAAATGCCTTAAAATTTCACCAGATCTTTAGGGGGTGATTGTTTATGAATTTGGCTAGTTTTTAATTGGTATTATTTAATTATAGTTATGTTTGAAAAAAATTGGTATAGTTAGTTGGTAGTGGATATATTAAAATAATATTTTATTGAAAGTGATGGTTAATTAAAATTTTGTGAGTGGATGAATAGTGAATTAAAGTTGATGTGATGTATAAAAATGATTGGTTAAATGATTAGTTGGTATTATTTAATTATATTAATTATATTTGAGATAGTGGGATTGGTTAAAGTTGAGTTAAATTTGAGTTTTGATTGAATTTTTTTGAGTTGAGTTGAGTTGAGTTATATTTACTTGCCTATATGTTTTAAGATTTGTGGGAATTTCAAAGACACGGTTTTGCTATGGAGCCAACAGTTGGCTCCATAGTGGAGCTAACCTTCTATATACTACAAATAAATCTACCATATGATTTGATTACTTAAATAACATTAACATAATTCTATTGATATGGTAGGTTTATTTGTCGTATATAGAAGGTTGACTCCACTATGAAGCCAACTGTTGGCTTCATAGCAAAACTGTTTTTTTTTTTTTTTTCCTCCCAA